TTACTTTCAAGTCATAAGAGGATAAAGTCAGAAACAACTTCAGCTCGCCTTCAATCAAATTTTCCCTTTAGATCCAGGGACGTTTCACCTTCATAAGGTCATCAGTACGAATTGGCATCCATTCAGGACTGTAATGGTAGATGTACAAGCTTGACCTCAAGGTTGCAGTGCCCTCCTTTCATCTGCTTGCAGTGCGACCCCTCGTGCACTCGGTCCCAGATGGTGAAGCTGGTGCTGGACAGGATGTCGTCCCCTGTAAAAGAGTCGTCCCAGTAGTCAAACGATCCGGTTACACTCTTGAGCAGCGTATTTGTCCTCCCATGCCATTACCAACTGAAAATCAGTGAAACCCTATTTTTTAAGCAGCAGAATGCATAAATGGACATGTCTATCCCATTCCCTTCGTACCGAATACCTGCCAGCATCCAAGGGATGCAAATCAAAATAAATAACATTGCATTATTTGCTCTTTTGAGACTCCTTGAACTTAAACCAACTTAAACACTACCACAATTTTAAAGCTGGGAACTTCGAGGACACCTCTCCATATACCGAGATTACATGCTCGTCCCACTCCTGGCTTGTCCTCGGCAGGGTTGGCCAGCGTGTCCTCATACTCCTGGGTTTTTAGTCTTGGAAGTTAAAGCTTTGGTTTTTGTCATTGCTTGGTTGCTAGTAGATGCTGGAGGAAGCTTGTACTGTTACTTTGAAACATCAAGTTTACAAATTGAACACTAACCCGTATTGATGGTTGGATACAGAAGCTAGATTTGTCATGTCAAGGAGGTTGTCATAAAACTGGGCACGGGACTGAAATTAGCGGCGGAGTGAGCGACCGAGGCGCATTCGGGAGTATCAAAGAAGACGAGGTGTGTGAGTTTTGCGCGAAAGCAGGACGATCGGCCAGAGATGTGAGAATGTGGCGTCGAGAGAACTTGAAACGGGCTAACTGCATGACTGTTATCTGAGCTACATTAACCAGAGGAGAAGAGAGAGTAACAAGTGAACAACACTCTATGGCCAAGGAGGTAATTGACCAGGTTATTTCACCCAAGCATCACAGTAGTCATTTCAACGACCAAGAAAAATACATCCAAACATCAGCACAGCAATAACAGCAGCGAGCCAAGGAATCGGGTTGTGTGTATGTTTATACAGTCTCAAACTTGATCTGCCTCAACGGGTGATGAGTCTCCCAGCTGTAGATGACCGCTAGCCTGGGGCCCTTAACGTGCATCACGTAGCAGTGATACACGACCGCACGCCAATACAGTGCTCATCCAGATCGAAACGGGCAAATGTGGGGATTGAACACACGATTCTGGGTTCTGCAGCGCGAGCTTTCACTCCACATTCTCCGAGCTGGTGCGTGCAAGCCCCCTCGGCCACCAATCCCGCAGTGCCAGGGAATAACATATAATAAATGACAATGGTACAGTGGTCTGCAACAGGTAGCTTTTCAGTGCCTTGAGAAACCAGGTTGAGATCACGTGACACTTTCCTGCCACATATGGCTGGCAAAATAGAGATGCATAAGTCATAAAGCAAGTAATAATTTGATTTTGTTTTTACTAAAGACATCAGCATCTGTATTTGGCTTCTACAACTTCTGAAAGCTACCTCTGAGTGCATAGAGTGGTTTCTTTCATAATCTTACCTCCATGGAGAATTTCCCAGCTGGTAACGGGGCCGTGAAACGCAGACCCCCTGAAGTCGCACAGGCGCCGAGGGCATTACACAGGGCCCGCAACATGTCCTCCGAGCAGAGGGCCCTTTCAGTAGCCCGGCAGCCGGTGGATTCTGTTGGAATGATAGGGTAGGGGGAACACACGCATTTGCAGGTTAACGGACCTAGGAAAACTAGTAGGCAGGTACGAAAACATGCTACTCGCCCCCGCAGCGTTTGCCTCACTGGCACTTTATGGTGAAACAAATCAGCAGCGAGCGACTGATGGAACACGCGTCAGAAGAACAGTTCGCCTCGAGTTTAACACCCTAGGACGGCGCTTTATTGCGCGCGTAAAGCATTGGCGTAGCCATGGGTTTTCTTGGGGCCGGGGGGATTTCGGGTGCGAAGTACTGAACACCCCCTCCCTGGCTACGCCACTGGCAAGAAGTGACATCGGATGTCACTTAGACACGGCGCTATCACTGCTAAAATAGACTACCATCGAACACCGAGTCGTGACTGCGAAGTTAATGACCCACATACAGATATCCTACCACACTATCTGTTTGGACAAGTGGCATACAATCTGTCGCTGGGGGGAAAGACTAAGAACAGACAACTGCGCACTCGGCTCGGTCGTACCACACCGATCGCCTAATCCGCTGCTTTTTCGTAACATTCCGTTTTACTTTGCTATACTCCTTTCACGTGCAACTGTTTGTGAATGATGCGAACTGTACAGAAACGACGTAACTCACCTCAGCGAGCGCCATGGCGCGGTTCTCCGGGTTCCAGCGCTGCGGGAGATCGGCCTTCGAAAGCTCGGCAGCCCGTTCAGCTCGCCGAAGAGGGCTGTAGCTACACTTCGGTGCTTCACGGAAACACCGAGACACTTGCTGGCGAAAAGGGGTCTCCGCCAAAAAGTAGAAAGGCTCACTCGCGTCGCACATCACCGTGCTGACGTTGGGGGGGGCTCACATCAACATCTCACCGCCGAAGACCGGGACGCATATTGGTGCTTCGTATGCTCCCAGGGTAAATTCTTTCGCGTCAAACGAAGTAACGTACATTTCGAGGTATTTCCGGTCTCTTTTTTGCGTATGCCGCGTCCTCGTTCAAGCAGTAGCAGTGGATTTCTGAGAGCCACAGAAAAGGCCTTCCGCAATGGCTGCGGAGAAGAGACGACACCGCTTTGTTTACCCCCGAGCTCCCGCCCGGAGCCATCCTCCAATCAGAGCGCGGCGAGGTGACGTCACGCCACCGGCCTGCGCGAAAGAGCAGACGGCTTTCCCTCCGTATAGTTGCGATGTCTTCAAGCGGCTCCGCTGCCGTAGGGATAGTTACAGACGGCGTAAATTTCCGCAACCAGCTGTCTAGAAAGCAGCTGGTTGCGATCTTTCAATCCTTATAACCGTTTACACTGAAGAAAACTGATGATGTTGTCCGAGCAGAAGCTTGATCCGTTTGAGCATGGTATTATGCGTGAACCACTGAAAGGGTACGGCTTAAAACTAGCCTGTTGGAATATCCAGCAAAACTGAGACTTTCGATTTGGATCGTCATTATAGGTGGATTAGATATTAGCCTTGGTGAGGGCGTCGAGAAGGAGAGCTTTCTCGAACAAAAAACGACGGGGCAAGTTAGCTGCGTAGGTAAATGTTAAACATGATGATGTTGCCCAATCCTCGGGTAAAGTCACCATCTTTAGTTTTCTCTGATGCTTATTGGGCAGTCAGAGGTTTCTGCTGGGGGAGTTTTATCGACAAATGTTAAATTTTTCACCCGCACACGGATGGTGATCGACATCTCGGGGGCCGCTGTTGCGTTTGTTCTGAGCATTTCCTTACACACTGGTAAATTACAGCGTTTGTACGGCAACAGAGCGATTTAAAACCTGCAAATAAATCACGGGTTGTTAATTGCTTCCTCCGTGAAATAGCAGACGCTCACAATTCAAGCTCGCGTTTGATTTCGTTTCCCGCGGGACGCAATTTCTATCAGAAAATCTAATTTTTTTTCCGTTCGGTTCCGCGACACATCGTAGCAGACGAACCCTCGTCATCTGCTCCCGCTCCTCGCCGGCCCCGCCGGAGCGAGGCATGACGAAATTGCATTTTGGCGCACTCCCGATTTTCTCGGTGCAGCGAGTGCATGCACGCGTGGGGTGTAAGCGCTGAAACGAACTCGGAGAGTGCAACCACTCGTGGAGCGCCGGCCGAAACGAACCCGTTCCACGCTGCGAGTGGGCACGCGTGGGCACGAGTGCCGTGAAACAAACTCGCTAAAAGGAAACATGCAAAGGAAAAATAATTTTTTTTAAGTGCCTGGTTGGGAAAAAGAAGTCATAAAACAAATTTACAATGAAAAATAAAATATCATAGAGCTATATTTACGGCGATATACTAATTTGTAGTTGGCGCCCGCGGGCGCAGTAGAAAAGTGGTCGCTATTTGTCACGTGGTACTTGCACTCTTTTGGAAGCTTCCTATGGTATCTAAAAGTGACTTATTCATCTTTGTTTCATGTGCAACAAAAAACGAAGATTAATAAGTAACTTTTAGAGCCCAAAGGAAGTTCCTGAAAAAGCGCAAGCAGACGTGATAGACCTGTGTGCCGGTCAGAGGACGGCGACGGTGCCGCGGAGCAGACAAACTTGTGCGGCGGTGGCAGCGGCAGCGTGGAGAAATGCGTTGAAACAGTGGCGCACCACGCCCAGCGTGCGGCGGCAACGGCCGCGCAACGACGCACAGGTGTATTACATGACCCGCGGCAGCTACCGCGGGCGCCATCTACAAATTCGTTTTGCGCAGTAAATAATAGTTCTAAAAATTTTTTCCTTTGTTATAAATTCGTTTTATAACATTCTTTTTCAACCCAGGCTGTTTGAAACTTTGTGTGTGTTTTTTAAGGCATGCAAAATCCACTTTTTTAAAGTGGATTTTGAGTTTGCCTTTTCTATGAGATAACACAAAGCACAGACCTCAAGTGTCGGAAAAAAAAACCCTAAAATTAAGGGTGTGTCTGTACTTTTCCCTATTAGAGATGTAGCCTAACACCTTTAAGAAACATTTTCAATTGGGGAAAAGGCCACACACAATTGCAATTTTGGGTTTCTAGGGCGCTTTAGATGCATAGATTGAGTTATCACCCTAAAAAGACGAAATCAAAATCCACCTTAGTACCCCTTAAAGCATGGTCATAAATTTCAAGATATACAAACATAAGCATCATAAAGCAAAAAAAAAAAAAGAAAGAAAAGATTGATGCAATATTATTTCACTTTCTCAATGCGAACCCCAGCGGCTTCGATTAAAGTGGCAGTGTTGCCCACCTTCATGGCGTAGCACTTGCCCGTCTCCTTCTCCCGGACCAGGTGGACAGAACCAAAGCCGCTCGCAGACAGCAGCTTCACTTTCTGGGCAAGGAACAAGCCGCTCCGGTTTAGCAGCCAGCCACACAGACAGACATAGCCACTAGCACGAGCCAAAAGAAGTCAACAGAGCGACGGGGGAGCAAGACTGCCCGTCCCTGGTTCAATATGAAAACAACAGTAAGGTGTAACAACTGGTTGGTTCAAAGTCTGCTTAAAGCACTTCACAGAAGGCACATGTGCGTGCCTACGTTTTTTTACAGAAATTTGGCCTATTATAAGGACCGGACTATCGAGAGGAAATATTTGCATCTCAAAACAGGGCTTTTTATTTTTTATACAAAAAGTACAATAGTACAAGGAGTTAAGAACCAAGCTCTGCATCATCAATGATGATGCAGAACTTAGAAAAGCTAAGAAACATTGCTGCCGGGAACATGTCTTCACCATTAAAGAGATATTGAATACATTGAGTGTAATATGGCTATCCAAGCACAGATAATATGTTGATTTAAAAAAGCTTCTTGCCTCTACGCCTCACTCAGCAAATGTGTGGCTCTAGAGCAAAGGATTGATATATTTGTGTTTTGGCAGCAAAACACGATGCTTTGCACAAAACACAACTTGCGTGCTGAGGCCCCCCCCCCTAGCCCAGAATACGACCAGGAAAGGAGAAAACTAGGCCCGGTGTTTACCTCTCCGTGGGGATTAGCTCCCGGACATGCTGGACTCGAGGGAGGATAGGTCAAGCGAGATAAGGGAATCGTGGACCGGTTCGCCGCCCAACACAAAACGATTTTGTATGTCTGTGGCCATACTACAGAGTGGGACGATTGTTGTAGGTTAGAAGTACAGAAGCACTTTTTGTTTTACTCATTGAAGAGTCATGTGACAAAGTGAAACAGCCTCCAGCAATCTTCAACATTGAATATAAAATGTAAAGGATCGCATTTCAAAACGATTGGTGCCAAAATTACCCGCGGATGTCCATCAGCAAAATGGTGCTGTGCACGGGCCACTCGAATGTAAATTACTGTCATGCTATGCACATGAACGAGCATTGATTGCAGCAATGCTGGACGATGGGTTAAAAGAAGGCGTGGCTCGGGAATGGGCACAGATAAATCTTCCGTTGTTTCTCACATTCCCGCACAAAATGTCTCCGTCAGGGCATCTGATCTAATCTGTTAGCCTCCTAACCTAGTCACGAGACATATGATTACAATTCGATTCTAATGAAGGGCTACTAACAACACCTTTTTACTTTTCACCATGCATAGATCAGTGTCATAAAGTCGGCATCCCTTCCTGTCACAGATAATTTTTATGAGTCATTCATTCCCAACACTTCATTAATAGGGAATCGCCTTCCCCAAGCTGTCACCGAAATTTCTGACAGTGAACATCTTCGAACTGCCATTTCTAACCTTTTTTTAAGAAGAGCCCTAACACTGTATAAGTTTCGTTTTTCTTGCTATAGGTCGTTACCCTCAGGACCTCCGGTCCTGAGGGTAACGACATAAATAAATATGCCGGCATTTTGCGACTTTGCTCTGCCCCCCAGAGCGGCTTTGGACGGTGCCACCCACCTGAAAGGAGGTCTCCTGCACCCGGCTGCGCACGGGAAACTCTGGCAGGAAGAGCGACTCGGCCAGGGTCAGGGGCCAGGGGGTCTTGGACGAGCCCCAATCGGCCCAGGGGTCCCTCGAGGGCTGCCAACGGCGCCTCCCCAGCGTGCACGCCCGCGACCAGGGACGCTGGGCACTCGCCACCGACTGCACGCTCTGCTGGCTCGCCCAGCTCAGCTGGGACGCAGGGAGGGACAATTGGACATCAGAGTGGCTTCATGGTGCCTGGAGCGAATGTCCGACAGGTCTCTTTACTGCGTCCAAAGAAGTGGTCCCTCGATTTCCGACCTGATGACGTTATAGAAGTGTCACGCCGTCGTCGGCCGCGATTTTGGCGGATGCTTGTCCTGCTGCAGGTCGGGTTCCAGCTTGACAGTCCACGAAAACAATGACCGTCGGGGGTTGAGACGCCGCGACAACATATTCGCTCATACTTTTTGCCGGAACTTCTACGACCAAGCGCCAGGATTGCGACAACCGCCAGTATGGCACTCCGGCTTTTGTGAGGTCATGCATTGGTGGAATATCACCCGTCGGAGACGCGATCCAGGCATTGCAGCGGCGAGTGACACATAGGAACCCGCCTCTTCCCAGTGGTAAAAAGTACACATCCCAGATAACCCAGCCCGGGCCTAAGGTGGTTGCATCTCTCTGTACTGCAACCAACAAATCTGCAGGCTGTCTGCTGTAATGTTTCCAAATCCCCCCCCCCGCTGCTTTAAAACTTCACCAATCAATGAGGAGGGAGGAAGTTCGGTGGCTTTGGGCAGCGCCCAAAGCCACTCGACAAGGATCTCGGGACATATTTGCGAGCTCAAAACAATTTTTGCATTGCATGTCTGAAACACCTACTATATTTTTGTTAAAACACCCGAGACACTGGTTGAGAAGATCTTGAAACAACCAAAAGTAGAAGAGACGGGGAAAGAAGTCAGTCAGACGACATCTCAATTGAGACGTCATCCGAGTGATTTACACTAGCTCACCTGCACCCTCACCGTGTTTATTCATTATCTGTATTTGTACAATTCTCCATTCACTAGCGGCACTGCAGGCACGCTCAAAAGCTAGGGGCCAGTATGTATACCGAGCCGAAATGCTAAAGAAAGAAAAATATAAGAAAGCCAGATATTCTGATTATTTCACGGCGAAATCGTTGGCCATACTTTCCCATTTCTGCAGGCTGAACAAAAAACCTCGACAATGCTAGGTTTAACCTGTTGGTAAACACGCGAATCTACGACACCCAAGTAGAGGTACATTTCTTTCTGCCTACCTCTACATCTTTGGATGTTAGGGATGGGTGTGTGTGAACTTTAGCAACAAGTCTTTGGAAGCAGCTTTAGATTCACAATGGTGCCTCCCAAATGGAAGTGTTCCGGAGTCAGTCAGTTTGAATTGCTAGGGTATTCTGGCAATCTTGATGTTAGACCAAAGGGACAACATGGAAGTACCATAAGGAAAAGATTAAAACTCAAATGCTTCGAATCAAATGACCTCCATCAAGTAGAGGAAAGAAAAGATAATTTCCTTCTTTCCACTTCCTGGAAAAGGGCTTGTATTTTCTCCTCCCTTAGTGACCCATTCCCTTTAGACTCCGTTCCACCGCCAATGGTACTTCCGAGAGCTGTTTTGCTGGAAACGCCTGTGCACGCCCCACATTGACCAAGGCTAAGCAACATCTACATATTCACTGGACAACCCGACCACTTGTTTAACTTGCCTAATCATCAGTACAAAAGGAATGCACTGGAAACTCCCTATTGACATTGTTTTGCACCATGACATGGTGCAAAAGAATGGAGGGCCGCAGGTGACTTCCCCACTACTTCTTGGCTGGTGCAAAATGCCGAGTTTCACCAACGCTTCCTTTATAGAGAAGGCGTTGGTTTCACGATGTGAAGTTAACAGTTTACAATTTCGGCAGCCGGTGTGAACATCGGTGAAGGATCATGAAGCTTGCGGATGATGACCTTAACCTCGCTATGAAGAGCCCAAAGGGTTTTTAGAATCCTGCGCTGGAACAACTCGGATGCCCGTTAGGGACCTCCAACATTTCAACTGTTGGGGTGATGCAGGTTATTGTCCTGGGACCGGCGAGCATGATTTGTTTGTTTCACGCTGACCTCTAATAAAAGATCCAGCTGCCTCCTTTCTTTTTTTGTTGGTTTTGACAACCAATGAGATTAGCATCATTTCAATAGAACACTCGAAACCCTCTGCGATCCACAAGGATTTCTAAACCAAGATAAAAACACCAGTAACAGACACCAGGGTAGATAGCAAGTATAGGCGTATAGGTACTACCCACCTTCTCGAACCAGCCCATGCCGACGCGATCTCCGCCCTGGGTGCTCTACGCACAGGAAGACATCGCCTCTGCCTTTCTATTGTTCGGGGACGCGTCGCCGCGCCGTGTTTCCGTCTGCACGCCAGCCTTGAAGGCGCCGGGATAATTAAGGGAGGCAGTCTACCCCGCAGCAGCCGTCGACCCAGCTTCGCCGCTACGGCCGCGAGCGCTGAGCTAGTTGCCCGAACGCCCGTGGAATATGTGAGGCAGCCAACCCCCAGCTGTTGCTCCCGTTCGTAGCACATTCCGATCCACGCACCGTAACGCTTCGGGTGGAAGAATGCGTACAACTACGAGAGAGGCGCAAGTTGTTTACCTGCGACTGCGTCGAACTCCATCGCCGGTGCGCCGCCGCCACTGCTGCGTGCTCCTGAGTTCGACTCCGTTTCGTGTCGGTGTTGCCCATAAAACGCCGCAGCTCGGGCGGCTACGTCAAGCGGGACAGCTTCGGGCTCATCGTAGCCCCTCACCGCGTCTGCCGGTTGTGTCAAGCGTGCACGTCACCGCTGGACTCTGCCTTGAATGTGGAATTCTAGGCGATTTAAAACCATCAAACTTTCCACACCCCAGGTGCCTCAGTCGCCTTGGGCATCTTCATAATCCTTTGACGTTGTTCATGGTTCACGCACTGTAGTTCATGTTTTTGTTTGTTTGTGTAGTACAGTAGTACGTAGACAAACCGACGAGCTTCTTACAGCATGTATGAATAGACAAAAAAACAGTTGACTTTGTTGACTTATCTGGGCGGCGGCTTACGCCGCCTAGCGTTTAAAAACTACAAATATAAATATTTGTTACATATTAAACTTTATTTATTTGTAGAAGTAAAAAAAATACTTGAAATAGAATAATTTGGCCTGAAAAAAAAAACAAGGGCGTGCTTCTTGCTTGCGCAAACACCACCTACACACAGTAACATTTTTTTTTAGAAATCTAGACGTTTAAAATGTTTATATTTTTAAAATAAACATTATTCATTTAAATAAAATGTAAAAAAAGAAGAAAAGAAAACGTCCCCGTTCCAAAGCGTCCAAAGCGCAACGACTGGCAAAGCGCGGAGTGGTGGAGTCGAATCCACATCCATAACTGCATCCACAGCGAGTGGGGAAGAAGGACAAGCAGGACATCATGGCGAGCATGAATTTTGCCCAGTTTCTTCGATATTTCTCGAGCTCTGCTATCCGATATGCGAAGCCCGGGGAAGCAGGAAGCGCCCATCTCGGTAAGGAAGGCGGTGGCGTTTCGCTGCGACACCTTCGCTTGGCTGTAACCGGAGAAGCGGCAAGGCTCAACGAATCTTGTGGCGTAGGTCTCGTCGAATCTGTCGTACCTCCACCCGAAACCAAGAGGGAAGCAACACCCACAACTTGTCTCATCCCGGATTTTTTTTCTTCGTATTTTTGCAATATCTAAGGAAACCAATGAGTGTTAGGAGTTCAGCGAAGGTTCGGACCTATGGCTCTGGGGCCACAAAACGTGCTTCGTCTTCGGTACCACTCTTTCTATGAGATAAAACAGTCATCATTAGCATAGGAAAGGGACATAATAATTTAGTCGTAGTTTTTGCCCAGAATATTGTATCGCAGCCTGATTATGAAGACTGCCTCTAAACTGGTAAAGTGGTCGCTTTTAGCCGTAGGCTGTCTAGTCTCGCCAGCTATGTTGTATAAACCTGAGACTGGGGCAGAAATGAACACATCAGTCGAAAGAACAGAAAAGGACAGGACGACGTCTCAAACTGGGTTTGAGACGCCGTCCTGTCCTTTTCTGTTCCTTCGACTTATATGCTCATTTCTGCCCCAGTCTCGGGTGTATTCAACATGGTTAACATTCACCAGCTCGCCTGCACCCTTACTATCTTATCTCTAGTCTCGCTACGCTCTCCCCGCATTAAAGGGATGAGTAAAGCTTATACGCACGACGCCAAACTCGTATAAAACAAATTGTTACAACGAGTTTCCGAAGCGGTAGTGTAGCTTAGCGGTAAGGTTTTTGCTTTACATGCAGCAGACCCCGGTTCGATCCACAATGTGGGATCCACAATGTGGGCTTTCTTTTTTATTTTTTTTTCCCTCAAACCTTTTGTTTTGTTGAGCATTTGGCTATATTTGCGACGTTTCTTTCACGCTGCTTCGCAGACTGTCGCCGCGAAGCAGCGTGAACGCAGGCGGGGCATTGGGTTAACACACACTTCAGTGATACATACGTCGTCCGAAAAGGGTGACGCAAATGGCACAAGCTCTCCGCGTCGTGCGTATAGCCGATAGAAAATTGAACCATACCTCTCATGTTCAAAAATAAGTTAAAAATTATCAACAAAATCTGCTAATAACTATCCTACGTTTGTATTTTGAACGGATGGCTTACATTTTCATTCCAAACGGCCGAATCCAGCGAGCCCTCGAAGAGCAGTCATTGGAGACGCGTAATGCATCTTGGGAGATCCGGGCCGTGTTCCAAAATTTACTCAATCTTACTCCAGGGTAAGGGTTTTGTACCTTTGCGTTCGAAAACCCACCCGTGTCCAGCGTCGCTCTATCGTTATCACATGACACGACCCGCCAGAGTAACTCGAATCTATTCGGGTAAGAGTTGGAACAACCCCGGTGCCTCCAGCGCGTTCGTGACGTCATGTTTAACTTCAGGGGCAATGCTACAGGAAGGCAGGCGTGGCTGTGAGCTTCGCCGCTTGATGGCGTCTACGCACTACAACCTGGCTGTTTGAGATGTCTGATCTCTGGTTCGGCGATGCCAGTGGAGGCGGAAGAGTGATTCACCTACTTTTCAAACCCCCATTTCTCCGCTCCCCGTAGGAGGTAAATAGGCATGGGAAAGAAGGAACATCCGGTTCAACAGGGCTCGCACATGCGCAGCTTGTTCATTAGAAGTTGCGTTGGGAACATCCACCAGGTGTGATTGGTTTATTCATTTTAAATAATGTTTTGGTGCCTTTTTGAACAATAAAACTGGCATCTCTGTGTTGTCGCCAGAACGTGGTTGACATTTAGACAATAGAGCTTATATCTGTCGTGAGGATGCCCCTTTTTCCCAACGTCAAGTTTGCCCTCGTATCAATTCCTCGCCCATTTTGCCTATTGGAAACGCCGTCCCAGCACTTGTACTTAGGGGCAGTGAGCAGATGGCTTTGGTACTCTGCAAATGTCTGGCAACTTGGTTTACTGGATGTTCGGAAAGAAGGGACAAGCAATCGCCAAGAATGTTACTTGATTTTACCGGCCAGAACTTGCACCAAATGTCTCGCGAAAACTGACATCTTCAATTTTGAACCGTAGCAAAGTGAGCATCAATAGCACCTTATCTCCTACTCTTTTCTTTCCTCTCGCGTCTTTTGCCTACACTGTGCCATCAACTGACTGCATGCTTCGTAACAAAATCAAACCCTACTAAAGACACCGATAGAACTGGCACTATATTTAAATACACAAATCACTTTGTTACGATCTGGCTGCAGCGGCCCAGAAGATGTGGAGGAACCTGACGTTCTTCGTGGCTTTCCCCGCGATTGGCCTGTGTGCCCTCAACGCCTACCTGGCCGAGAAGGAACACCACAAGCACTTCCACCGACCAGAGTTCAAGAAGTATGAGTACCTCTACATCCGGACCAAGGTGGGACCTCCTCTTGTGGCCTTCTGCAACGAAGCTCCGCTATGGGGGTATTCACTGGACGCCCCATCTGTGGGATGCTGTTTAGAGCGCATGCTCAGTATGAGCTCACATTAATAGGCTGCCAAGACCGGCAATCTTGGTGGTGTGCAATGAATGTTGCAAAAGAACTGTGGAAGCTTGCCATCAGCACGCGCTCAGCAGTCGCGCACACAGCTGTGGCCTCCAGTGAATGCTTCCTATAGTCCGTTTGCACGTTCGCATTTGCTTACAACTAATTTATTGTGATCTCTTGCAATGAGAGTCTGGCACCATCTTCAAGGTGACCCTGGAACTGAATTTCACTAGAGCGAAGGGTTTGCATTATTTGCAAGATCAAATGTATGTACTATATATCTATGAGAAAAGGTCATTTATAACAGTCAAAAGTTTTCTGGGCCTTTAAAGAAACAAAGATAAAAATATAAAATATAAGGGGAGTCATCAACAACCGCCCGGAGTGAGCGGTTGTTTTGTTGTGTTGCAAGGAATTGCGATGCAGCGCACGAATGAACGGCGGTATGCAATCAAGTTTTACAAGAAACTGGACCGATTCTGGTGCCGAGACTCTTGCCACAACCCGTGAAGCTTAGGTGGAGGATGCCGTGCCAAAACGCGAGTTTTCGAGTGGCACGAGAAGTTTAAAGAAGGAAAAAAAAAAGGACATCAAGGACGAGGAAGGCGCAGGATGTCCGTCAACGAGCTGAAATATGGCTAAGGTGAAAGAACTTTTGGACTTGAACGTGCAAGTGTGAGTATGATTGTGCAAAAGTTGAATTTACAGAAATCCAGTTTGCATTTAATTATTTCAACCAATATGCGGCTGAGAAAAGTGTGTGCCAAATTAGCCAAATGCGCCATGTTGCATGTTGATACGTACGAGAAAGTTTCTGGCGAAGCGCGTGGCAAGGCTGCTTCAGCCTTCCAGACCTGGCCCCGCCACTTCTTTTTTTTTTTTTTTCCTTGGATGAAACAGCGCCCGAAAGGACACCATTATGGGACGGTGGAAAGTGTGAAAGCGGCGTAGACGCAGTGCCTAAAGGCAGTTCCGGTTGTAGACTCTTGGGGGCGCACCATGTGCGGCAGAAGTACTGACAACAGTGTGTTAATGAAGAGGGATGTTATGCAAGTATGAGGTATGAGGAAATAGATACGCGCTGTGCTGTATGCCACGGGGAAGACTAAACAATAGAACATGTGGTGCTGAGGTGCACAGAGGTTGCTCCCACCCTCCCGGAGGGGGTGATGGATTTAGCTGGAGCGCTGCGGTTTGCCGACGAGAGTGGAAGAATGCATAAGTGCATTTCAATAACAAAGAGGAGATTGGAAGACTGGCGGAAGTTATCTAGGGAAAATTGAATGACTTACAACTAACTGACACAGCTGGGGACAGGCAAGACAGGAATATTGGGGCTCCCTCCGGCATGGCTCCGGCCCAAAGTCTCTACCCCATCTCCCAGTGCCGGGGCAACCCCGATTAGGTTAGACCAGAGGAAAATTGGCGACTCCCTCGCCGGGGGGCAAGAGGCAGGGCGATATATTTTTAGGTTTTTGCCCGATCCCTCAAAGGTTATGAAATTGCAGAGGATAAGCAAATGGGCAAAAAAGAAATCATAATATTGGTTCTTAATTTTTAGGCTAGGTGGCGCAAGCTATTGCCCATTATAAATGGTACAGTCGTTAGCGTCCATCCATGTTATTTTGCGGAATTTTAACACTTTTTATGTATATCTGCAATCATTTTTTTTTATGAATGTAGTTTTGTTATTTTTTGGACAAACCCTCAAGAGTGACATGGTTTGAAGCAGCACGTACGGCTCAGCTTGTAGTTAATGGCACCATCTCCGGTATGACTTGGTCTTAGTGCGGCATGAAAGCCAAGGCCGGGTAATGATAAATGGTCTAGACATCTCCCAGCTTCCGACCGTCTCTGCAGTGTTCGTTTCAGCCTCCGGAGCACAAACTGTTATTGCAAGGGGGATATGTTGGGTTGGTCTGGTTCATGGGGAAAGAACAAGGGAAACCCAACTAAAAAGGGCAAACAGTGCGCAAAGGAACAAGGCGTTGAATAAGGAACCAAACACGACAAGTGCTAACCCAACTAAACATTTATAGTGAGAAAACATACAGCAACAATCAGTTCAGTCATGACCAATCATCAAGCGTCCAAAACAGCTACCTCTTTGCTATGCAGATTGGCCTAGGTTTGGCCGATAGAGTAATCTCCCCTCCTTCATATGATGTGAGCCTCTGTAACTCCCTTGCCGTTTGACTCCAAGCTGAAACGGAACTGGACTAATTGCACGCTCGGCGTTTGCTCTTTCCCTTGCAGAGATTTCCCTGGGGAGATGGCAACCATGGCCTGTTCCACAACCCCAAGGTGAACGCCCTGCCGGAAGGCTACGAGGACGAACTGTAGCGCCACCACCGTCCACAGAAGAGGGAACACTAGGAAAGCTAGAACCCAGCATTACACGAATAAAGGAAGTCACCAGTCGTGCGCTTCTTTCGTCCATTAATTTGCCATATCGGCGTTGAGGCAGTAGCGACTTCTTCGGCACAACATAACTGTTGGGCAGGCAACATCCAATGTTGGTAGCATCCAGCTGCCTTCTTTGCACTCTAGAAACAGTGAGTGGGGTAGATCCGTTTTGTTGTGTGGAGAAGGTGACCTATGAAGTTATTGCGAACCTGCAAAACGTGGAAGTGGCCAGCCTTGCTCTGTGCTAATTCCAGTCCTCCAGCAAGGCATAAACTTGAACCTCAAGGGCACAAGCGGAGAACAGGATACTGCCCTGCCGCACAAGTGGTTTTTAAACATGTCCTATGGAAACTAATCTGTTTATATTTGAAAATTTGCAAAGTGGAAGAAGGCACTGTGGTTTCGGACAATCGGTTTTTGTGGCTCAAGCCTGTTATCAGATTCAAAGCAATGTTGGTGTATTCCCTGCAAGGGTCCATTTAATTATTCAACCAGAGAGCATGTTTTTCAGGAACGGCAATAATTTCTACTTATTTCATGGCACTAATGAAACATGGCGTAGAAACGCTTAAAAAATGTGCTCTTCTTTACTGACCACATTGGAGATTTAACTCCTCTTATTGCAACTGGTTACAAGAAACAATGCCATGAAAATAAGAGTACTGCATGGACTCATTATTGGTAGGGTGTCCCAATGCCTAGATGCATCTCGTCCCAAATTTGGCACTGTAAATTGGCAAAAGACAAACTTTGGGCCCTAAGCTTTATTTTTCCTGACTCGATTCAACATTGCGCTGCAACCCCCAACTTTTAACTGTGTGACCAAGCAAAACCTAGCAGAAGAATGTCTGCAATAGTTCTGCATGTGCTGCTTGATCAAAGAACAACAATACTGACCCCTTTTCTCCCCTAAAGTTAAAAAAAAACAAATTGAGGCAGCTTTTGAAGTTTGTGTTAATGCTATCTTGTCAGTAGCACCCATAAACAAGAAGCTCCAACCATTTGCTCGGCACAACCAGTAGGGCCACCTACAAGATGCTCAAGTTGTATATATGGTAACCATTAAAAATGCCCAAAAACGCATCAGATTTTGTTTGGCAGGCACTGGGCTGCATCGTTGGGCTCATTCTTCAAGAAAAAGACTGAGTTAAACTATATATCAGAAACCAACATGATTGCTATTTTGGCCTTCAAGGTTCAAAGCCTTCCAGTGAGCCAAAACAATCTGCCTGTGGGACTTGTGCTATATTTAGCTTCCAAGAAAACTTACCGCATGTAATGGTGATGGCTGTACCATCATGGTTAACAGCACAGCTTTCATAATGCACTGTCATATTTCTGTCTTTTTGTCCTAGGGGGATCGGTGGCCGAGTGGTTTAGCGCACACCAGCTCAAAGCACGTGGAGCGAAAGCTCGCGCTGCAGAACCCAGGGATCCTGGGTTCGAGCCCCACCCCTGCCCGTTTCGATCTGGATGAGCATCGTACCGGCGTGCGGTCGTGTATCACTACTGCGTGATGCACGTTAAAGACCCCAGGCTAGCGGCTGTACCGCACTGGCTAAATTTCTCATCTACAGCTGGGAGACTCGTCGCCCCTGTGAGGCAGACCAAGTTCTAGGCTGTATAAACACACACACAAACCAACTTCTTTTTGTCCTGGCTTTGCTGCAGCAAGGACTGCAAGAATTGAACTTAGCTGGAGCAGTCAGTTGTGATGGTGCATGTGCCAACCTGCTAAATGAAAACGGGAATTACAGTACATGCCCAAAAAATTGATGCTTTGCATCAGCGATCCTTTGTGTCAACAGGAAAAGGGGTCTACGACCAGACGTTTTACAGAGCCGAGGGCTTGACAACACCATCACTAACCGACAGCAGGACCACTGGACAACCTTAGTTACCTGACACATAGTCTAACATAGTACTTCTAATGTACATTTCTGAGGAGATGGCCAACAAAAAAAACTCCTTTCCGAGTAGAAAAAAAAAAAGCTGTGCCGATGGGCATTATGTGAACATGTTTATCATAAAAAATAATGCTTCTTTAGTCTAGGCCACGACCTCGTATATAAGCTAACCGAGCGGCAGCTGTTGAGGCACGACAGACTAGACCGTGGTACTTCGGGTCAAATTTTTGTACTCATTCAGAATTTGGAAACTTGCTGGTTCATAAAATGGCTCTCAAGAAACGAAAATTTGGCTGAAAGATCCAAATGTATGGTAGTACTATACACTTTCTGCAAGCGCCATTTCACTTTTTATTTACATTTTGTACGTCGCCTCACATTTTGTACGTCCCCTCACGTGCAGTGGCCTTTGCAAGTGCACCTCAATCTAGCTTGTATGGCAGCACTACGTTCGCACATTGCAGTCAGTATTACAAGGTGAATATCTATTTACTGGGGACCGTAAATAAGTTTCTTGAGGCTCTCTGTCGTAACTGAGTAGTGATACACATGTCTGAAAAAATTACAAATTTAAAATTGCGTAATTATATTTGTAAACAGTAACAAATACTCTTTTTTTTTCAATAACATTTCAGTACATTTGATGCCAAAGTTTTAAAGAAGAGATAAAAAGCACTGATAGCAGTTCCTTTACTAAAAGAAAAGAAAGGTATTGTTACCCTTATTTTGACAAAACCCAAATTATGTGGTTTTGCCAAAATGAATGCCGTAGCAGTTGACAACACAGATTTTATTTTCTTCGAAGTAAATAAATGAGCAGGACCCCTATCCATGGGAAAATGCTTTAATTTTCTACTCAAGGTTCATGAGATTCCAGGCACTGAAGAGTCATAAACATCTGCTCACCACCTAACTAATGCATCTTTACTCAAAACTGAAACCTCCTAAATCAAGAAGCTCATATTTGCGTATATAATGATGATAGCCCCCAAACCATCTCAAAAGCCCGTTGCTACCTCCAGCACAGTATGTGCTACTCAACCTATTTATAGTCGGAAATAGGTCTAAATTCTTAAAAATAGAGCCCACACTTCTGCTTTCGCAAGCATATTCCTGCAACTCAATGGCTGGGACTTACAAAAGGAGCCCAGCACACTACGAGACTAGACATCACGTTTCGATTCGAAAATGCAACCTGTTCTGGATCATGGGGCACGACACTTGCGCGTCTACAATCTCAATGCAATCTCGTTTACGAGCCCCCGAAACTTGTAGGGGCTTTGTCAATCTCTGTAAATCACCTGAATCGTTCTTGAGAGAGTTGCCTCTGCAAACACTTTTAACCCAAACAAGATCGCTTCTCAAACGAGCGCGCAGCCTGCAGAACATTTGGGAAACGACGAAAGCAAGGACCATCTCCCGTTGTGGTTGTTACAGACAGTTCCGGTCGAGCTAGCTGCACGAACGGAGCAGTCTCTTCATGGTGCTGATGGAAGAGCTGCGGTAGCCGCCTCCAAAGTGATTCCTGCACAATTGACAATCTCGCTCTGAGGCTGGCACATGGCTATCCTCTGTTCTAGGAAATGCTCATTTGCAGAAACAGTAGGTTGTTGCAAGTAGACTGACATGGTGTCAAAAGTTTACAGTTTGTATAAAAAAATTAAGATATTTCAGCTTGTATGTTGAGGCCCTTTACTTTTCTTACATTTGTTTTCATTTAACTCAGTTAAAAAAGAAAAACACTCCAAAAGGTTTGTCTTATTTCTAGAACCTATAAAAAATCAACCTTACAGTGAAACCCGTTTAGAACGAACCCATGTACAGTGAATCATTGTCGATATCGAACTCACGGAAAATTTAAATAAAAATGCATGTAAAAAGTACTTTTTATAACGAACAACATACTGGCTATATTGCACTTTTTCCACCCGGGAAGGCTTTTAAAAATGTGCAAACAATCGACTTCTAGCCTGTCCCTTCCCCCCCCCCAAAAAAGAGGCAAAAAAAGAAAATTCCAAAAGCTCAAGTTGCGAAAAAATTTAGCTAAAAAAACAAAAGCTAAAAAATACACTCTGCAGGCACGTGCAAAAAGGTCATAGCAAAACCTTTTCATCCCAAAACCGTTGCCCACGAAGAGAAGCGATTCAGAAGGAGAGATAAGCTAAAAAAAACCAAGCCTGCAGACATGTAAAAAAAAGAACAAAAAAACTTTCCAGTGCGTTATTACAAGGCGGAAAAGAAGAGATAAGAAAAAAAGAGAAGCTCTCGCCTTACAATGAACGCATCGTGGAAGTTTGATGTAAATGGTTTTTGCTATGTCCAATTGCTTGCTATATCGAACTGATCATAGCGTTTCCTGCTGTTCGTTATAAACGGGTTTGACTGTATACAGCCAGGATTCATCATATCGAGCATATTCGTTTAAGGATTTAAAAAAATAATCCATCGAAACAAGCGAGTGTAACTTGGTGTATTTATTGTTACTGCATTTAATAATATTATCTTCACAAGACCTTTTTCACAAATGTGCAAAAGGAATATCCAATAATGACAGCTCCCCAAGTTCATCTAATCTACAAAAAAAGCCACATGGCATGTTAGGCATACATTTAAGGCGTCTGCCATGGGGCCCCAATCTAAAGGTAACATATGATGCAAAGTTTTAACAGAGTAATTCTCAAGATGGTCGACACTCAGTGAAGACATAAGTCATTCTACAGGCAAAGCTACTATATAAGGAATGCCTTTGTAAACAAAAAGAAATTGGTTCAAGGACCAGAGTGGGTGGCAGGCAGAGATGTTTGAAACGGAAGATTGATGAACCAAAGTTGAAAGGTGGGCTAGTTGGTGTAGGCTAAACATAATGTAGGTAAAACAATGCAGAACGACAAAGACTAGAAGGAAGGAACAAAGAGGATGGGACAGGCGCATTCCTATGAAATGTGCCGCCATTATTACCCAACATCACCTGCAGGCTTTACGGGACTTTAAAGTATTTATATGTTATAGATTCTAGAAACTAAATACCCAATAACTTACAATAGAATTCCAGTACCTTTAGCTCGAACTTAGTTACACTTCAGAAGTAAGTTGAAACTTTGCTCAATTACACTTACTTTAACAAACTATGGCAAAAATATCTAAAAAAAATTAGACGTTTACAACTTCCTGTAACGCCGAATTAGAGCGCAGCTCTTGAGGAAAAGGAGGAGGGGAGGGTATGCCCCTCCTCCTCACCCATACCCTCTCCTCGTCTTCCCTCCTCTCCTCCTCCACCCTCCCCTCCTCTTCACTTTCCTCCTCCTCCTCCCCACGCATTGCATCATGGGAAATGTCCCATGATGCACCGCGCGGGACCCTCGTGGCGTCACGAGTCCTGCGCGTTGCATTATAAGACATTTCCCATAATGCACCGTGCAGTTACTTCTACGGCAATGCTGACGGCGATGCCGATCAAGCCGGAAACGGGCGCCTAAGAGCTGCGCTCTAAAATGCATCACTGGGAAAATTCAATACAAAGCAAAAAGATGTTGAAGGTTCATAACATTCAAACTTTAGAATATTAGCTGAGATGAACTGCAATATTCATATTTTCAAATTGCTGACTGCACCGGGTCAGAGCCGTGTATAGAGAGAGTTTGGCCATTCATTGGGAAGTATAGGAGGCAAATGAGGAGGCACCATAGGCCAAAAGTGGGCCAGGCGTGTTCCAAAGCATCTTCACAAATTCGAATGTGGCCAACCAGAAGCCGGAAATAATACCCTGGCGGTGGTCAAGAGAAACAAAATTAATAAGTGCGTCGGAGTAACTCTCGGTGAGTGAAAATATGGTGCACGTGATGTTTCGATTACGGTCGTCCCAAATCACGGTGAAAGAGCACGACTAGCGGGACGATCAACATAATTCGTACGCCAGGTGCCGAAGGCCGGGAATCTGCCATCGGAGCGATCACACACTGTTCGAGCAAAACAGAGTTTGAGCGGCACATTCGTTTCTTACATCTCTGCATGATCACAATTGAAACATCATGTGCCAGTGGTTAGCTACCTTCCCATGAGAGCAACCATCACTGTAACTGGGCATTTTCATCGTCTTTTTGTCTTTTGGTGGCTTTGTAATAATTGCAGTGATGTGATTGGCCGAAGCCATTTTGGAGCACCTTTTGGAGCAGCCAAAACAGTGTTCTGGAGCAGCAAAAGTGGCCTTTGGGGCAGCAAAAGTGGCTTTTGGAGCAGCCAAAAGAGTGTTTTGGTGCAGAAAAAGTGGCTTTTGGAGCAGATATTCTTAGAAAAAGAAAGATTTGTTTTAAGTGCTGTACAAACTAAGGGCACTTTGTGTTGTGTTGTGATGTGACGTGTTGGGACAGAACTCGCTGCTTGTGTTTTTACTGCTGAGACATCCCACAAGTATACAGTGCTGTAGGCGTTGCCGAGCAATTCTGGAAAAAACACTTGCCACCGTTTTACTGGTTCCCGACGTGCCAGATTTTTTAAAAAGTAAGCAAACGTAAAACAATGGATTGCAAGCATCCCGGCTGGCGCCTCTGTCGTGCAATCATGTTCACATGCACGTGAGGGCAACTTCGGCAGGCTCGCAGTTGCACGAGCTTCGTCGCGCGAGCGCAGACAACGGCTGCTCATTGCTCAATCGAAACCGAAACCATGCCACTCCACTCCTCCCAGTCGCCAACTGGTCCCCAAAATAGTATGCAAAATGTAACTGTCCTGCACACGACAATAAAGAGTCCAGCAGCGCATGCTTGCCAGGCCGACAGGCAAAGTACAGGCTAAACACACAGAAAAAAAGAACCTGAGCGCATCAACGTATGACATCGCGAGCCAGGGTCAAAAAGTCCTTGGAATGCTTTGTGCAATGACCGAACTCGAGACAAACAAGCACGCTGTGCGGGTTCAGCGTGCAGACATTGCCTTCTTTGCTTTAGCTCACTTCTCTTTACCAACTTTCTTTTGCGGCACATTTTTTACGTATCAGGGTCCCTCTGAAAAGAAAGCCCACCGAGAGAAACCTAAATAATCATTACTTCTTCAAGCAGTCTTTGAGTTAAATAGGAATTTTTATAGCAGCGTATGATCTAAACAACAACAGGAATGTCAATCCATTTCAGTTTAGAGAGGGCCATATCTGCAGCGATGTGGGGACGGCAACACAAGACGTCGCGCGAGCGCTTCAGCTCACAAAGTAACTTGCCGTGCAAAAATGCCATTTCGATGGTTTTGTTTCACAGCATGACAGCATGTCTGGCACCCGGCACACTAACGTCGGACCGTCCGCACACGCCCGCATCTATTGTCGAAATTTTTTTAAAAAGATGCGAGATGAGATTTTTGAGACGACGAGAGCGCGAAACGCGAGACGGCGGGAAAAACCATGCAAGACCGGATAGACGATTGATGCAGGGTACGCTGTGTTGGGTGGACGCTTGCGCCACCTAGCTCACGCATGCTCCATTACGGTTCTCAGTTTAGTTTCGGTTTTGAAAGGCGACCAAAATTGTTTTTTTTTGGTGCTAACTTGGCGCAGATTACCCATATTTTGGCAAAATGTTGCAGAATGTAACAGGGTCAGCCCCCTGGCGCAGTTTGGCGCAATTAGCGCAGCAATCACATCACTGTAATTGTTCCCTTCAATTAGTACAGTTCACCTGCATATTTTCTATCATAACTGCAACCAGACAGAGTCATGCGCTTAATTACATTTCAATTTCAGTAACTGTAGCTATTATAAATTGACTATAAAACTGTCAAGAAATAACCTTTCGCAGCTCCAAAAGCCAGGAGACGTTTTGTGTGATTTGCCGATAGACTTCTTTCACTCCCGGGGGGACCATTTGTGGGGCAGAGTAAAGGCAGGACTAAATGGACATTGCCAAGTCCTGGCAACCCACCAGTGGTTGAGGTAGTGGAACAGCTGGTAGAGGTCGAGCCGCTTCTCGAAGCCGGGGGCCTTGGGAATGACCTTGAAGTAGGCCGAGTAGAAGGCAGCGTCAAAGCCCCCAAACAGCTTGGCAATGGACAGGTCAAATTCCGCATGGCCATAGAAGGCTGCTGGGTCGTAGATGACTGCGGGAATCGGGGAAGCGGTACCGTTGGTGCAAAGGGAACCTTGAAGATCAGGTAGAAACTCCCCATGGTCAAGCAAAACTGCGCAAAAATGCTAAATTTCCTCGTCTCTTCCAAGTAGGCTTCTCATAAGGGGATCCACTATATAGAACAGCTCACGCACTGTCCTTCAGAATTCCACTTATTGAGGTTCCTGTACTTGGATGGTCTGTTCACGATACCGACGTGCCGAAAATGTTGACTACAAGCGAGGCTCCAGCAAAACCTGGATAGTCCCCGATTTGCCTAGAAATTGGTTCAAGAGATTATTATAGACATCCAAACTAGGGATCCAAATTGAGGTCAAGTTGAAAATATGGTCCGAGAGGCCCTACTGGCAACACTGAAAACATCAGGTATGTTGTACAATGGGGCATTACGGATTGCTCCCAACAGGTTACAAGAAGTTCGAGAGTGTGAAATAAATTCTGGTCAAGTTAATGCCAGCGAAACGAAAGAACATGCTCAAAATACCGTCGTTTCTAGACTGCCTGCTTGACTTGTACGACATACGATGTCACTCCCCCCATTGTAAGCGCGGGAGAATTTGAATGTTGGTTGCTATTGGAAAACAGCAAATGATGGTGGTGCCCAAACACCTTAATTTGCCGTTTTCTCAATAGCCAATTAGAAGTTATAGACAATAAATGGCATGTCAAAAAAGTAAAGCCTGGGCATTCCAAAAATATGTTCAGTTTGGATGCCGTTTTTTTTTTTTTTTTGTTAATTTTTCTTGTATGCTAAGCACAGATTTTGGCCTTAGTAACCATTTCGTGAGCAATATATGTTTATAAAAAGACACTATTTTATGGACAACACGCTATTTGTGCATCCCTCCAACCTATGACATATTTTTTGCATTGTAGTACTTTTCAAGAAACAGCACTATGCAGTGGCACTTGAACCTCACACCTCGAGGTCACTCTTTTGAGCGGCCTTAATCGGCCTTTGTTTACTTGGTCCTTGTTTTTGCAGTCGTTGAATACGAAGTTCATGAGTAATTTCTAGATCTCAATGTTTACCATGAAGAGCGAGGTTGAACAACATATATTTATCATACTGTAACAACGAAGGAGCATACCAAAACAGAAGTTGCCTAGACAAAAAAAAAAAGGATTGAATCCCATCAAAAAGAGACATTGCAGTATAAAACATTTCTTCATTGCTTACTCATACATGCCGCTGCACATAAAAAAATATTACGGCTAAGTTGGGAGCGGCAGGGAGTGAACCAAAAGGAATGCACAGTCGGGTGTGGGACTCAAAGGGAAGCGGCAGAGGGGACGGTGAGGCACGCACTGGGTCCGCCTGCGTGCTCAGCGACGTTTCCACCCCACAGGTCCCCGTGGACAAGAGAGGGGGCGACGTCGATGTCCTGGAAGAGCCCGGGCACCTTGTGTACCAGCTGGGTCCAGAGTTCGGCCGCCTCCCGGTCCCGGTACTTTTCCTGGGCCACCCGGATCTGGTGGTCAATGCGCTGCCGGCAAAAGAACTCCTGCGGGGGGGCACGCAGGCGGGCGGCGTCACTCTCGTGACAAGGAAAACCCTTTGTTTCGGCACCTGATGAGAGGGGCCCGAATGGATACTTGGGCTGACAGCAACATGAAAGAAGAGAGGTGTGTGAATGGTGCCACCTCGCCACGGAGGCAGTGTGTCGAAGCTTTGCTCCCGTTTCTGACAAACTTTCCGGGATGGTTCAGCATGACTGAAGTTCGAAAAACCGTCCTTATTTGCCCACACGTTTTCAAGGCTGCGAGGTGCGTGGAGCCCCAACCCGACAGTGCCCCTGCCGGGAGGTGCGCGAAGCCCGAGTAGAATTCAGACCTCCTTTCTGGCCCTGTTCTAACACCTCTCTCTTCTTCCACTGTGGCCCCAAGGAATGTACATCACAGTCTGGAAAGTGCGCAAGTTCCCATAATTTCATTTGTTTGCGTTCCAATTCCTTTGCACCTATTAACAAAATTATTCACCAGTCTTAATTAACAAATCATGAGGGTAGTCAAAGCTGGTAGGGCTTTTGGACTAGAAGTGGCAGCTGATGCTTCGATCACAGGATTAGTTCTTTAACGTTGGCTGTCAGTCGGAGTCTTAAAAAAATTCGTTTTCAGGTTATTCGGCGGAGAAGATTCAAAACGCTTTACGGGCAACATGGTCCTTGCAACTGGTGTTGGCGTGCTGTGACGAACTCGTTTTTGTTGATGCAGGCCACCAAGGTGAAACATTTCTGACAGCACCACCCAGGGTGAAGTTGTCAACTAGTTTGTTTGTCCTTATGTGTTATTATTATTTAAAGACATGGTGAGGTCTTTCATTACCACGTATTAGCCCCGAGCAGGACCGATTGGAGCGCTGCAATCGCTTGATAGTGACGTAGTGACAAGCATCACGTGACGAGGCCAGGTATTTTCTCCGCTTTGGTTTGCCCTGGTTGTGTGCTTTATTTAGCACGTAGCAGCAGGAACTGTTCGCAAAGTGTATCTTGCTTTTGCTACCATGCAAAATGTGCGTAGGATGAAATTTAAAAACAAATCTGAACAAGGCAAGCGAAACGATTGGAAGTTGTGTGTAAGTTACGATGAACCTACGGTAGCTTCATGGCCGCCAACACCGCCCGGATACTTCACCGTGGAGAGCAATGAGCATACTTCTACGTGCTTTTTGCGCACTTCCCGACTTCAAGCAGCAAACAAAAGGAAATACATTCGAGCCCGGTTATATCACACTCGGGTATTTCAAATTAGTGTTTATATCAAACAGTCCAAACATCCCCTTGAAAATCACATGTAATAGCCTAGGAGCCTTGTCCTTTTGTATCCAACTCCCATAGTGGGGACACTCGATAAAGCAAACCATAGCGAACAAAGCCCGGCTGCCCGCTGCTTTTCCCGTGATCCGATTGCGCCGGGGGCGAACACATTGCTTGCGTTGCATGGCGTGGCTGGCAGCGCGACTCCCTAGTCCCAAAATAAAATAAGCAAAAAAAAAAAAAATCTTTGGGGAGTCAGGTGTGTGGACAACAACCATTGAGCATAACACTTTGAATGTCTTATCTTTGTTTACTTCTTTCTTTTAACATTTATGCTTTGCCAGTTTTTCTTTTCTTTTTCTTTTTTTTGTTGTTTGAATTTAGTGAGCTTTCTTTTTTGTTGCTAGCTTAACTTTTTCCTATGGATCAAAAGATTTTTTTTATGTGTTTCGCTTTTCCGTGTTTCTTAAATTTGTTTAAAAATTATTTTTGTTTTGTTGCTTATGCTGTGTGGAGGTCCCGGCCAGGTGCGCATATAAGCGCGACGGTGTTTGCAGTCTCCGCCAACTAGGGCCTACTCTATTTAAGGGCTCTCTGATGCTCTATTTGGTAAGCTTACGTTTGTCGCAACCTTCGGTATTAGCAGAGAAGCCAGGAAATTTCAGCTCGAGCTTAATTTAACATATTTTTATACATCAAATTATTGATATATCAAACTATCTTACTATCCCCTTTGGATTCAATATTCGCGACTCCAGTAAAACAAACGGCACCTAGCGGGAACACACTGAACTGGCCGGAACAGGTCTCTTCATGATTTCTGCTCGTCTCTTCTGGCTTCCGTGTTTACATGTTGTCAGTGGTTTGCGCGACAGAACAATTCTACCGGTGACTCTGTCGTAACCGTAGTATCGCCTTGTGAGAAAGGTTGCTCTGCACGCGACCTATGGAACCGCGTGAGACAGACATTCTGCGTTTCTCAACGTTCATCAGCACCGTAGAGGGACAGTGGGCAGTCCTTTCCTCGTTTCCTCAAAGAAAGTCATGCCTCTGGAAGTTCGCTTACCCCAACACATCCCCGCAGGTTCGAAACGTGGAAGATAAAACGCGTTGGGACAAATTTTGAGTCCAATGCTTACTTGCTGGTGCCCCAGCATTGTGCGTGAAGCTGGCACATGGCCAGCATGACCTGGATTCGACCGCCATATTTGCCTGATAGTGGCGTTCCCCATAGATCGCTGGAGTTGCGAATATCTGGGTTCGACTATACATACTCAAAACTACAACTCTCAGCAAGCAAACTGCTAAGAAAACCGGCAGTTGGAATGCCAAGTTCAATGCCTGGTCGGCCATCGTCACAATTGGTTCCTATTTTCTCTGCCTGCCTTTTTCGACAGGCCAAAAAAAGAAAGGAAAAGAATAAAACTTGACAGGACCCCGATGGCACAATGACGACCAAATCGGTCGCGGTCAGTATGATAACAGAAAACTGGGTCACTAGGTCCTGTTCCAAGGTCGTGACGCCACTGTTAGCTAAGCTTAATTTTGACGAAAAGTACAACGAAAGAATTAAAACACCCAACCCCAGACTCTCATTCAAATTAATGAATCAAACATGAATTGTGAGCAATACGCCTCAAACTACGTGCTACCAATGACGCGCAGAAGCGGTCATGTGATACTTGGTACTACATCTCGACAAGGACCTGCCAGGTAGTGCCACTCCATCTTCTCGGGGCTAATACGGAAGCTGCATAGGCTAATGTGGGGCTTTATGTTCGTTTGTTAGAGCTGTGACTAAACTAAATAAGTCACTATTATGGCAAAATAAAATTTGGTTGATAGAACGAACATGGTCTGCACATAAACACTCATACTCTGGGAATTTTTAAAATGCAGCTCTTAGGCACTCCTTTCAGGCTTGAATGGCGTTGGCGTAACAGCATGCATTGCATTATGGGAATAATGCAAGCGAGGGTAACCGCACGGTGAATTACGTAAAAATTTCCCCGCTAAATTTAGCGGAAAGCATTCCTCGCTAAATTTAGCAGAAAAAGCTCCTCGGTTATTTAGCGCAAAAATTTCCCCGCTAAATTTAGCGGAAATCTTTATCTTATAAGTTTAGCGGAAAAATTTCCCTGCTAAATTTAGCAGAAAAATTTTTCCACTAAATTTAGCAGAAAATTTTTTCCGCTAAATTTATCAGGAAATTTTCCCCACTAAATTTAGCAGCAAAATTTCCACACTAAATTTAGCTATATTTAGCGGGGAAATGTTACCGCTAAATTTAACGAAAAACTTTCCTGCTAAAATGAAAGAAAAAATTTTCCCGCTAAATTTAGCGACACTTTTCCGCTAAATGAGTGGGGAGCAGGGGAGGAGGAGGAAAGGGTATGGAGGGGGAAAAGTGGCATACCCTCCCCTCCCCGTCCTGACAAGCTGCGCTCCAATTCAGCATTACAGAGAATTGTAAAAGTCTAATTTTTTCATTCCAGGCCATTCGAATCGGTGCATAATTCATGAACAAGCAGACAGGCTTCCTTTGCTGACAACACTTGAGGTACAGAAGTCAAGAGAACTAACGATGTCTGGAATGCATCCTTGACTGGTGTGTGCCTCCTTGACCCAGTTATGGCTAGTGGGAGTAAAGTAACATACGATAAATTGCCGCAAGCCTAGCAACAGAACAGCATACACTTTTGATGCCGTCCACCAACCAATAGATAGAAACTCCATGAGTTAGGACGCCACGACACAAGCAATGTTTGCATCCACCCGTCTTCTTCGCCACTGCTTGTACAGCCAGCCGTCAGGACTGCAACGTCTCATGCCATTACCCGGAGACCCCTGTGACATATCTCATTACCATTTCAAGAATGCTCCGAGGAACGGGAGGTGCAGGATGCAAAACACGCCACTTGTAGACACTTTCCAGGCACCGAAAGCGTACACGACACACAAACCACAGCGGGGTGCCATCCCACTCACCACCCAGTCGCCGTTCCAGCTGTTGTCCAGGGGCAGGTAGCCACAGCAGGTGGTGGTGTGGAAACCAAACTGCTCCACAAAGTCCTCCTGCTGGTTGTGGACCGAGCCACCATGGCTGCGCTCGCGCACCCGCTCATTGTGCAGGTGCATGCTGCAAGCGGCGCCCTTCGCTTTACACATCCCGGAACTCGCCGCTCCAAGTTGCGCAAGTTAAACGAAACCAAGTGTTGATTGCGGCAAGTTAGCCCCCTTGAGTGCGCTTCTTATCGAGCGCCGGTGCGCTGTGGAGAAGAAACACACGTGGAGCTCACTTTTGCGGGTGTTGCTTCTCCGCAATGCACCGGTGCTCGGTAAGAAGCACGCTCAACGGGGCTAAACAAACAGCGATCAACACTTTGAAAAGTACAAATATTGCACAATCGTGTGCTTAGGAGAAAACACACTTCAAAAGCGCGATAGTGCATGCACATGCTTGATGTATTTAAGAAGAAATGGGAACTTTGTTAATATTGATGCTATACCGCAGTAAAATTTTCAAAGCAAAATTGTGGTTTTTATGCAAGAGATGTCCTGACAACCTGCATTCATCATTCATAATTACCCTTTTTTTTTTTTTCTTCTGTAATTCGAGAGTGAAGATAGAATATTTGTATACAACAAGATTTATGAATCTCCTAGATTAGGTGCAGCTGGGCATCTCTATAGATTTAAATTTTTGATACAAATCTGTTGCTTACCTGCCATCCCGATGCAGGCATTGGACTTTCTGAGGTCACAGTTTATAGATATTGATGAAATTATATAAACTTCTATTAGAGGTGGACAAGTGGAAGCTTGAAGACAACCTTCACGAGTTCAGCTGGGTGCATGGTGCAACAAAGGCTTTGGGAAACCATTCGATAGCAAAAGGTGAGACACAGGGCCGTAACCAGGGGAAGGGTTAGGGGGTTCTGACCCCCCCCCGAAATTTTTTTCTGGGTACGGCCCTGGTCGGTGCACTTGCAGCCAGCCGATTTTAATCTCCACCTCTGCGCACGCGCAGTGGCACCGGTCGGCTACCGGGTACCAAACCGGGACCGGTTCTTCGGTTAGCTATGACTCTCCATTATATGCCACCGATGCACATGATTCATAGGTGAAAATAAGACAAAATGGCCGCCGTTGTCCCCGAAAACCCCCCCCGAAATTTTTTTCTGGGTACGGCCCTGGTGAGACAGTCAAGAGGTGAGACCGTCAGCAATATATATTTGTTGTACGGCACACTGCAAAGTGAGAGCTAAGTGCAAAACATCACACATGCAAAAGAGAATGCAAACAATTGTGTAGTGATGTGGTTGCACAACATACAATGCCACTTGAGGACAGTAATTTATGTGAAACTGACTAGTCGCTCGTTATACCAAACTGTCTACACCTAGCAGGATTGTGTGTGCTAGTTGTTAAAAAAGAATTTGTTCCAGTGGTCACAATAACATATTGAACAGAGAGCTCCTTGAAGCTTGCAAACACCAGCTGGGGCCATAAATGCTTCAACGCCAGCCCGTTTCACATAAAAATCGAAGCCACCAATATAAAGGGTTTTATAGTTGCTTTTCTCTAACTCGCCCCAGCACGCAAAAGTTACAAAATTCAGAGAAAACCTTATTTGTCGAGACAATGGACCTTTTTCGAGTAAGCTTCTGCGCATGCGCACACCCTCTCCACCGGCCATGCTTTCCGCTGTCTCCATTTTCACTGCATCCCGCACGACCAACATTGTCAGCGCCTATCTTTCCACTTATTTTGTCTTTTTTGATGATTCTTTTTTGGGGTATCGGTAGCATGGGGCATAAAAAGCAATGAAAACCGATAGAATGGCACAATGTCCATCTGCTTTGATGAGCGGAGTCCCTATGGGCTGCCCTTCATTTGTAGTTCGTGGACAAACCGCCACATTGTGCTCCTTACTCGAAGAAGGTCCCTCATTTAACTTAAGTCACGAAAACACCGGCTCCCGTGCCCCCGAAACGTGCTTCGAGGCGAACAGCGTTTTCTCTTTGTGTCATGCCTCCGCCCCCCCTCTGAAATTAATTATCCGGCACTTTGCACAGTGGCACCTCAATTTGTTAGGGAGACCGGCCCGTGACCGGAGGCAGCGTTAATTCGGGAGAGTGGGTCGGGCACCTGGCCAACTGCTCTCCGAGCTGTGCAGAGTGCTTGCTCAGGTGCCGCATCTCCACGTATTCCATGGCCAGCGCAGCTCCGCCTTCAGGGTTGTCCACAATCTGCAGCGTGTTTGGGAGAGGATACAAATGTCTGAGAGACTGGCTTTTTTATCTCACCGCAACGCTCCACTTTCAGCCCGAAATTACTGCTAGATGAGATGCCAAAACTTCACAAGTTAGCATTATCGAAAATTCAAAAGTTTCAATGCAAACACAATGGCTGATGGAGCATTTTCTTGTGAAAAATTCCCAAAAACTGCTAGAAATTCTAAAATTATATAACGGAAGCATCGGATCACAGCCTTACTAATACATTCAGGTGGAAACTGAGTGTTTGTCGATACATAGTGGACTTCTTTTTTCAGTGAGAAAATAATGGTTAGAACATTATCTCAAATACACAGCAATGCTTACTTTTACCTATGGCTCAGCAATCAATCGATTAATGCTAACAAAAAGCTTTTAAACTGGTTAATCAGTTGGGTTTTGAGCTGAGAAAGTGTAGGCAAACAAAGACAACGTATGAATGCCTACTTTATTAATTACCATATGCGTGTCCATTTTAGGAGGCAGGACTGTTGTTTATTTTTCTAAGCTATTATAGCATTTCATATGATTTCATTCAGATATAAGTAATAAAAAACATTTAAGTTTTCTCCGCATTAAAAAAGTAAGTAACGTAAGTTCCTGGAGGTTCGTATAGTCGCTGGATAAAGAATGTTTCCCCAATTTAATTTCTTTGGGTAGTACAACATCAAGCTTCAGGTGTGATTGTACATTGTGCCATTTATGACAGCAAAAAAGGTAGTCAAGAAAAAGTTTGTGGTTTTGCTCCTTTTATTATAGTTTTTTTTTGTATATCTGGAAATGAATTAAATTGATTAGTCGATTAATATTTTAATTGAAGATTGGAAATCAATCACATCGAAGAACTTTAATATGGCACCCAGCCCAATCTACAACAGCAGCATTAGAAACTTTTTACCACCAAATTATGAATTTTTTTGACTAGGCAATGGCAGAAGTATGAGATGCTCTACTCCATCAGTAGTATTCCTGTTGATGTACTCAGCCATTATGGACTACAGCAATAGGTGTACATAAAATTCATACAAGAAGTTAGTGAAAAGTGAGTACCGTAATATCGAGAGAGATAGCCCACCAAAAATGGAGAGCAAATCAGGTGAAAATAAGGAGTGGGATAACTTTCAATGTGCAATCAAGAAAAGTTTTAAAAAAAGCCACTTTTTGGTCATGTGTCCTTGCCAAACATATTAATGCAACAAGGGATAATGAATCAAAGATGACTTCCCAGTCAGCAATGTTTGCTTACTTTTAAACCATATACTTTCCGGTTTTAACCGAAAAGCACCAATAAACGTTAGCCACTGCCGAAAATAAAAAAAATCGATGAAAACCAAAAAATACTGCTTTTTGGATCTTTTCGTACTAGCTGCAGTTTTTCTTCTTTTTTTTTTTTTTTCACCAAAAAAGTTTGATGTAAACAATTGTCACACTTGTTCTTCCTCTTTTTCTTTTTTAAATTCGTCTCTGGGTTTTCCGTCAGCATAGGTCCCCCAAGGTCTCTTAGTAATCAAGATGTGTTTTTTCTGTCAGTGCTGGTTACTTTGACCTTCAGTTTATGTCTCCAAAAGCTTGGCCTCATTGTGCCCTTTTGTAGATTGCCCCGCAGAAGGTTGCCCTCCTTCTTTGTGGACCCTAGTTTGGCAGTTTAAAGTGTTTTTCACATTGTTTGGGTTCAAGCGTGTCGAGGGATGAGATCGGTCTTTATACTTCGCTTCACCTTATGTCCAGACGCAGTCGACGCTACGAGGAAATGGGACCAATCAATTAAGCAGTGCTAAAAGTGCAAGTCACTGGGCCTTTTCATGTTTGCGAATGGTTCAGCGAAGATAGAACACATACAGAAACATGACGAATACCATGGTAGTGAGTCTCAGAATGTATGTGTGCATATATCACAATAATGAAGTCTGAAGAACATTGTGTATCAGATGTAAATAGAAGTTGAACAATTTCTCATCTTGATTGTTTGTTTCTAGTCCCGATTTTTTCCATCGATAAAAGTCGTTTTAAGCGTCTGCCCGAGGCAATTCACCGAAATGCACCGGTATTTTGGAAATAAATAAACCCGAAAAACATCCGCCGATTTTTTACATAAATAAACACCGGAAAGTATACGGCCTACTTATATTCTGCCATAGCTAACTAGCCGCATTTACGCTGAGGCCATTATTGATCCAAACATTACGACTACTAAAAGTGGGTTATTGTTTGGTGTTTAAAAATAAATAACAAATCAAGTCAAAAACAGGGGGTGGGTTACCTCTCGGAGGTGGGTCATCTTTCAGGATATTACGGTAGACCAATTGTTTGGGAGAAGATATCCATTGAGGATGACTGTCAAAAGGCATTAGAGCACTTATTGTCACCAGGGGTGCGCAAATATTCGAGTTTCGAATGGAAATCAAATAGTGATTGCCCGAATACTTTTATTCGACTTTTGGATTCCCAGTATTCGAGTGTTTGAATTATTCGATACATTACATATAAATCACTACAGTTGGCAAAAATTCAGGTTGATCAGTAATGATGTTCATATGGTTAAGTTATTTAACAAAATATCTGTAGACCATTGCAGAAAAGTGCTTCTGGTCTGTGCCATTTTCAGCGTTTGTGCGTGTGGCACATACTACCTTCCAAAGCGGTGAACATGAGCGTGCTGGGCTGTGACTCTCGCAAACAATGAAATGTATAGAATGGAATGAACTGCATTCTTGTAGGCCAGGTGGCAGGTTACTGTTTATGAAGATTGTGCTAAAATGACAATTAAAAGAACTCCACAACCACCCAGCCAAATATCAAGATGCAATGAATGGCATATAAAATACACCAAAGACACTATTTACCTTCAAATAAAGAATATTTCCTTGAAGATACAATAGTGCGTAAAGTACAGAAATGCATCATAAAAGTTTTAATTCAATATAAGTTAACAAAAGTTGCTCAAAGAAGAATTTGTACCCATACTTCTTTTTTACTGACTGTCAGAATTGATTGAAGCGCGTTCAAACACACATTAATGAGTGCACATGGGAAGGAGGTAACTTTATATAAGATTTTTTAAAATTAAGTTTTAGTTCTGCACAGTTTACAACAGCTGTAAATTTACATGCCTCCCCTCAATGACATTAATATTCTTGTGGTTTTAAAAACCTTTCAGTCCCGTATAACATTTCCCTGTAATATAATAGAATAATGAAGTTTTCGCCTCCTCTTCTGCCAGAGAATATTGCACGCCAACCATTTGACAAACCAGGCAACGGCTCTATTGGATATTAATGGAGCTCCAACACCTGCTTCATAAACCTCTGTAATACCAGACACGAATAGCGATGCGTCGAAAGCCATATCTAAACAGAGACTTGAACTGTGTTTAGGTGTTTCACTTCTTGTGTTCAACAGATCGGCCACGTGAGTTGGACTACGAGAGTAGCCCAAGCTAAATTCAATGTCCAAAACAAACGTAATGTTTATAAAAAAAAAAAAATGTGACTGCGCCAAATGTTGACAGTAGTAGTGCAAGAATGTGCACTATTTTTCTCAATATTATTTGTGCTCCTCTTTGGACGGATGTCGTAGTAGTCACAGCCGGCTTGAGTCAGCGCTTGCCGCTCTTGAAGCAGGTTCCAGCTGCAGACGAATACTCAACTCGCAGCACACGGCTATAAATTATTCCAAGCATAAATGAGCATGTTTAAGTGACACTAAATCTCTCGGCACACAGCTTGCGCGAAAGCACCTTGATGTGGCTGGTCTCCATTGCTGCCGGGGAGAGCATTTTTGTTTTTCTCCCACGAAAACAAGGGTATAAAAGAAGCTTTTTCTCGGCGCTGTTTCTGATATCTATAGTGGAGCACAGATTGCTACCCATTGCAAAGGAACTTTCAATCTTGAAGCTGCGAAAAAATAATCTCGATCGCTGGCGCCTGGAAAGCCACTTTGCAACTGCCCAGGTCACTCGTCCGTCTGCCCTCCAGTGACGTACGTGGGTAGGGAAAAGTAGGGAATTTTCATTGCTGCCAGTAGTTGCCTCCTGGAACCCTCGCAGCCAGCGTAACTTAAAGATTCAATAACTTCAAGGGAAAAATTTATTTTCATAAAAAATGTTGGCTATCAGTTGAGCAGTGGTTATTGATGCAGTCTGCCAATTTCCAGCCAAATCAAAGGCTATCAATAAAAAATTCGGCGGAGTTTCCCATTAATGCTATATGTGCGCTGCAACTAGGGATGTCGCAAACCAGTTGAGATTCGAGTTCGACCAGGTTCGACTTTTGGAACTTTTATTGGAAACGTCGAGAAAGTTTGACTAAGGTTCGACTGTTATTCCCATGCGCGACAGGCTGGCTCAGTTGGCTTTGGATGGGATGGTGATGACCAAATGCAATCAAGTCTAACATTCTACTTTTAGTGTGAGCAGAACTATTTGGTTGTTTCGGTAATATAGCAAGAATAAATTATATTATTAACTTTTAGGTTATTATAAATATGTTCCGTTGATTGAAACTTCGGATAAAATAAAATAAGCTATTCCGCGAAAACATTTTCTCTAAGTCTTACCACACTGCCCACAAAGTCGAACCTTGTAGAACCAGGTTTAAAGTTCGAAAATTCGCCGCACCAGTCGAACCTCGAGGTTCATGGTAAAAATCCGGCTCTATGAAAGTTTGTGACACCCCTAGTTGCAACATATCTGTAAGAGAAGCTCCGCCTCCAAACCCCGGAGAAAAATGACGTCACTATATAAATGCACAATTTGTCTAGCGTCACAGAATCGGACAGTGAGAAACGTGCGCTTCTATAACCACGTGCATTTCCTTGGAAATAGCAAACACGACGTAAGTGTAACAGCGCACAACAACGGAGACTAGGGAAAGGAACGAACAACACAGGCCATATCTTGGGTTGCAACAAGCTATTGTGACGAAAAGGTGCGAATGGTTCTTCCAGCACCCAGTGGGAACTTTCTGAGGGTTGTT